ATCTATCTATCTATCTATCTATCTATCTATCTATCTATCTATCTATCTATCTATCTTATCATCTATTATCCATCTACCTACATACCTACCTACCATCTACCTACAGAGAGAAAAAGAGACACAGAGAAATGATATGATATACCAAAAATCAGGTACATATTCAGTATCAGGCCTCATAAAGAATTTATTATATATTGTAAATTACATCAAAAGTTCAAATTGGTTGTTATTTTCTTCTAGACACTTCTTTTCTCTTTTGATGCATGACCTTTGAACACAATAAAATTAATAAAATGTTTTATTTTAAATGTTTTAATTAATAATATATATCCAGGCAGATAGATAAGATTGAAAGATGATAGATAGATAGATAGATAGATAGATAGATAGATAGATAGATAGATAGACAGAGAGAGAGAGAGGGAGAGAGAGGGAGAGAAACAGATGGACAAATAGACAGATAAAGATATGTAGATATATAAATATATATATGCCTGATAACATTTGCAGAATTTTTGGTGCTCTGCATTAACTGAGACTCAATTAAGAGAATATCAAATGTGGAGGAAGAGGTTATCACTTCATACTACTCTGTCATCATTTCTTGTGGTGCACCATGCCCCATTTTGTCCTTCCATTCTGCCATTTGCATTCAAAGCAAAGAAACGAAACAGAGAAGGTTGAGGTTATGAATGAAGAAACCATGCCATCCAGAACAAAACCGAAACCCATCCAAATATTCTTTTGTATTCCCCCCTCCCCTCCAGATATGTAACACTCCACAAGAAGAACTGAAATGGAAGTTCTTAGGACCTGGAGAAACTCAAACAAAGGCCATCAGTTCTCTGAGGAAAGAGCCTCACCTGACCATTGGATTCCGGTATCCTGAAGTTCTGGTAACTTCCATGGATCTTCTTCTTCCTCTTCAGATTCAGTGGTCAAAGCAATGGTGGAATATGCAGGCAAGAGTTCCACCTGATTCCCCATAGAAATGGCTCCATCTGATGGACCAAACAAGCAAGCCAACATTATTACCAGTTCACCAATGGGAGATGTGGAAGTATTTTTTTAAAAATGGTTTGTAATTGGAGATACAGAAGAAAGGAGAGGACAGATCAGAAGAATACACTTTAGTTTTACCTTTGGTGTCTTTCCTCTCGTTGTCAGACATGGTCTTCTTGGATTTTGAGGAAGGCTCTTCAATATATTTATTGGTGTCTGTGCCTTCCAGTTCAGGCCACGGAGCCATGTCCTGCAAGACATTGAGGCAGAAGAGAAAGATCAATATTGAAGACTCCACTCTCATATTTCTAAGGCTTGGAGAAATGGACCTCCATTCCTTAAAAGCAACCAGGTTAGTTGCAAGCCATCATCTGATGTATCTAAGCAGGTGGCAGTCATTGGCTAGGTTCTTCTGACTGGAAGCTAAACAGGGATAGGCCTGGTTAGTATCGAGATGGGACTAGCTTGTTGTCTCCCTGAGAAGCTAACATTGTTTTTTTTTAATTTTTAATTTTTTTTATTAGACAAACACAAAAAAGAAAAGAACATTAAAAACAATGAACATGGTGCAATCCTTCTAACCCACAGTTGTCTTACATTGCTAAGTCACATATAAAAATAGTACATATTTACATTCTATATACATAGCATATAATATATACATATAATAATTTCTTATTATCCTGATCCTTCCTTTTTTCTAGCCAACAATACAATTTATCCCATACTTTGTAATAATCCCATTCATCCTTATTTTTTAATTCTTTTGTCAATTTGTCCATTTTTGTGCACATTCAAATTTTCCTGATTACTTCTATTTCACTTGGAGTTTCTTTACATTTCCCCTGTTATGCATAGGCCAATCTTGCAGCAGTAATTACATGAATTATTAGGTTAGGGTTAGAGTTAGTGTTAGGTTTAAAAAAAAAAAGAAGCTAACGTAGTTTGGACTTCAACTCTGAGGGCAATTTTAAAACTGCTAAGGTTGAGATACATTGCTAGAGTCTAGAGTCTTTCTGGACAATGTTCCATCAAACGAGCTATTATTCCGTAGCTCCTTGCCTTGTTGAGCTATGGGCAAGGACCAATAAAGCCATATAGCCAGTCTATTAATGATAGCATTACCGCTATAACTGGTGACCCTGATGTTGTCTGAAGACAAAAATATCAAAATGAGACCTGAGCTGGCAACAGGAAGGAAAAAGCAGCAAGGGATGGAACCCTATCAAGAAGCGAACCGGCTTAGGATCAAGGAGAAATTTCCTGATGGTCAGAACAATGAATGAACGGAACAACTTACCTCCAGAAGTTGTGGATGCTCCAACACTGGAGTCTTTTTTTCAAGAGGCAACTGGACTTTCTTTGTTTTCCCTTGAAGACGTTCCGCTTCTCATCCAAGGAGCTTCTTCAGTGCTGACTGAATGGTGGGGAATGGAAGGATTTCTATTTCTTGCAGATAGCTGGTCATTTGTATTCTTTGAGAGAGTTGTTGAGGCCCCTTGGAGGTTGACCTGAACCTTCCGTTCGCCACCATTTGGTCAGAACTAAAGAAGCTTTTTGGATGAGAAGTGAAACATTTTCAGGGAAAAGCAAAGAAAAGTTGCCCTTTCAAAATAGGAACAACCATGAGCTGGAAGAATCTGCATAGACACCCCACACACTGGACGTCTTTAAGAAGAGATTGGACAACCATTGATCCAGAAAGGTAAACAGTGTCCTGCTTGAGTACAGGGTTGGAGTAGAAGACCTGAAAGCTCCTTCCAAATCTATTATTCTATTACTCTATAATTCTTGATCAGGGGTCTCCAATCCTGGCAACTTTAAGACTTGTGGACTTCAACTTCCAAAATTCTGGGACTTGAAGTCCACAAATCTTAAAGTTGCCAAGTTTGGAGACCCCCGTTTTTAACGAATTATTGATGTCACTTGAGTTTTGGCTGCCTTTGGCTCAGCTTGAAAAACCAAGCAGGGACAGACCTGTTAGTTCATTCTCAGATGGGAGACATCTATGGAGGCCTGTAAGGGTCAATAGGGAAGGATATTTCCATACCATTTCCAACGACACGGATATAGTACCAGTTGTCTCATTTGTCTTGAAGTGGAATGGTAAGATGAAGGGAGGGAGGAGGTTGTGGAAATGTCTTCAGTCCTGAAGAAATTGCTCTTTAAGGAAGGTGAGCTTTCAGAGCTTGAAAAGCAATGTGTTTTTTTTAAAACGTTCTTTAAGTTTCTGACAGTAACCATTCATAGATAACGGGGATAGTTCCACACAACCAACAGCTATACCTTTCTTCCTCTTACCCATTGGTAAGTGTTCCCCATAGTTCTGCCCTTGGAGGCTGCACAGGTCATCCTTGACTTACAACAGTTCATTTACTGACTGTCCAAAGTTACAACGGCACTGGGAAAAAGGGACTTACGACCATTGTTCATACTTACAACCACAGCAGCATTCCCGTAATCGTGTGAGTTACATTTATGACTGTTATGACCCCCTTTATGATTTATGATATTTATGGTAATCATACATTTATGATCCCCTTTTGCAACCTTCCGAAAAGCAAAGGTGATGGGGAAAGCCAGATTCACTTAACAATGGCGTTACTCACTTAACAATCGCTGAGATTCCCTTAACAAATGCAGCAGGAAAAGATGAGACATAAACTCACTGTCTGCTTTGGAAGCCATATTAGCACCAGGCGCTTCCACAGCCACCTTCTTGAGCCTGGGAAAATGGGAGGGGGGAATTTCTTGGAGTGTATGTGGTTAGACACAATAGCATTCTTTTTCTAAGTCAAGGTCATCTTATTTCTGCACCTGGGTGAGAGAACGTATCAAGCTACGACGGATGGTGATTGGGGCATGCGATGCGATGATGGGTGCAGGGGGTGGATTTGTAGTTTTTATTTATTGCAAGGAAAGCCGGACTTTTCAGATTCTGACATATGTGTAGCCATTTTAGTTAGGCTTAGTATATATTCTTTTTCTTACTTTCTCTGTGGCAGCCATGCGGGGGGGAGGGTTTCGGGCTTGCCACATTCCTAAGGTCGGGGGAGTGGACACAGAGAGAGTTGTTTAGGCTAGGTGATTCTTCTTCTTCCCATGAGAAAACGAGCTGTCCGTGCTTTGGCTCCCTTGAGGTTGAGATTTATGACATCGAGCAACGTTGAATTACTTTTATTGGAGAATGTGACTTTTGGAGGTTGTTTCTAACTTTTAATATTGTGGAGTAATTCTGGGTTGTGTCAGATCCAGACTTTGCCAATTTGATGCTTTCCTAAATAAAAGAATTTGTCTTGGAACATGGACTTTGTTCTTTTCTTCTTAAATGGATTTCATCACTTGGAAACCTGACATCGGGATTTCCCAGGTGTGCCAGTTTACTACTCTAATAAAAAGAACTTTGGAAAGGATGTCTGTCTCGGAGTTATTCGTTTGGAGTGGAGTTTTTTCTGGAACGCTGACACTCACTTCACAAATGTCTCACTCAGCCACGGAAATTTTGGGTTCCATTGTGGTCGTACATCAAGGACTACCTTCTTCCATCCAATGGCAAGAAGAAGAAGAAAATGGTCTTCCATCATCATTCTGTTCTTGTCAAAATGGACTTTTTCAGGGGAGAAAAGATCTCTGAAGTTACCAATGGACACCAACCCTGTGGAGTTGTGTGTATTGCTGGAGCATTTGATAAACCCTTCAATCTGGGTGTTTTCATGATTGAGATGGGTTTCCTGTTTGCAGGGTTTCTTGGGACAGATGAACAAATAAGTTGAGTAATTGTGGAAGGAGATTCAAAGAGGTGGAATGAGATAAGAGTTCCGTCGATGAGGAACTCATGGATAGGTGCGGGAAAAAAATGTTGCAATACTTCTTTGGGCTGCCAGGCCTTACTTCCCACGCCTCTTTATTTATTTATTTATTTATTTATTTGATTTGATTTGATTTGATTTGATTTGATTTGATTTGTCAATCGCTTACAATAGGTATACGTATATACATAGTTATGAATTCATGAAATGGGTACATATCAGAAAAATAAAAGAAACAATAGGACAGGGACGGTAGGCACACTGGTGCACTTATGCACGCCCCTTACAGACCTCTTAGGAAAGGGATGAGGTCAATAGTAGACAGTCTAAGGTTAAAGTTTTTGGGGTTTGGGGGAAAAAAAACCACGGAGTCAGGTAGAGTATTCCAGACATTGACGACTCTGTTGCTGACATCGTATTTCCTGCAATCAAGTTTGGTGTGGTTAACCTTGAGTTTATATCTATTGTTTGCTCTTGTGTTGTTATGGTTGAAGCTGAAGTATTCATTGACAGGTAAATCATTGCAATGTATGATTTTATATACCATACTTATATACCACACCCTATATAATATGTACCATAGCATACCATACCATATATATACCATACTGCCTCTTGTGGAGTCACAGGAACACAGATGACTCATGCTGATACAGTTCCTGAAGAGGGAAGGCATCCACTTTGGTTCTAGGTCGGTCCTTAAGCTCACAAACCAAGCTGTAGAACCTTTGCAATCAGAACAGAACTGGAAGAGGTCTTGAAGTTCTTCTAGTCCAGCCCCCTGCTCAAGCAGGAGACCCTAGACCATTTTAGACAAGTGACTGTCCAGTCTCTTCTTGAAAGCCTCCAGTGATGAAGCTCCCACAACTTCTGAAGGCAACTTCTGTTCCACTGGTTGATTGTCCTCATTGTCAGAAAGTTCCTCCTTAATTCCAGGTTGCTTCTCTCCTTGATTAGTTTCCATCCATTGTTTCTTGTCTTGACTTCTTTGGAAAATAATGGCCATGCCCATCCCAGGCCCCACAAGGTCAAATACAACCTTGATGTGGCCCTCAATGAAATTGAGTTTCACACCCCTGGTTCAGGGTCTTCTGCTTGAGGAAGGAGTTGGACTAGAAGACCACCAAGGTCCCTTCCAACTCTGTTATTCTGTATGAAAACTTTTTTTCTCCCATGAATTCAGGGGCTCTTAAAAGAACATGAAAGAATCATGCCGAAACACAGTTAAATTGACAGTAGAAGTTAGATGACTTCTTTTGGACTCTGCTTTTGGGACAGAATTTCCCCCACATGTTAATTCCCCTCCAAGAAATTTTTGTTGCTTCTTGGACACAAAGAAATTTCTGTACCAGCTTCTATGCGCCTATGAAGCATTGTTTCTGACTTGTCACCCCTAACAGCACCATGAAAGAACAAACAGTACTGTTTCATATGGTCAAAT